CCACACCTTCTCAATCTCCGAGCCCAGCACACGTGCCCTGCAATAGTTGTGATACATCATAGTTGTAATAGATAATAAGAGTTGGTCCGTTCCCTGTCTCCTCCCTAGGCACTGAAAGAACAAAAACTTTTGGTAGAGCAGTTATTTCATGCCTGCTGCCTAGCATAGCTCCTGGCACGTTCTAAATGCTCTGAAGCCAACCTGTCTGTCTGATGCCTTTGTATAAAATGTGTACCCAGGCTTCTCACACAAGAAAACAGATTTTGCACTCAACAACTACTTGCGAATATCATAATTAGAAGGATTCACTACACGACAAGACATGGGGCCAGTGATGACTGGCAGGACCTACAACTCTAGGTCAAAAAAGAAGGAAGCTTATCCCTGGCTGGGTGGTTCAGCAGACTGCAATGTCGTCCCATGTACCAAAAAGGGTGTGGGTTCAATCCCTGCTCAGGGCACATATCTAGGTTGGGGGTTTGATCCCTGGATGGAGCATGTATGGAAAGTAACTGACTAGTATTTCTTTCTCACATTGGTGTTTCTCTCTCTCTCCCTTCCTCTCTAAAATCAATGAACATACCCTTGTGTGAGGATTAAAAAATAATAATAGTAATTTTAAAAAGAAGGGAGTTTCCATTTCAAGAGTTCACAAATGGCTTTGCTGCAACATGACAAAGTCAAAAGCACTTCAAACAAAAGCTCAATGCAAACTGAATTGAATCCTACCCAACTGAGTAACTGTGGTACCAGAAAAGTTCATGTTTGTCTTTTTATCAAGACTATACATTCCTGGAGGTGAAAGGTTCTGCATATCTTGTTCATTTTTGCCCCTAGCATTCTGTCTAGTGTGCTGAGTAATACAGGCAGGCATCAGTCACATGGAAGCAAAGCAGATAAGGGAGAGACAAGGAAGGAGGTAAAAATCACACTCAAACAAAAAAAGCACAGCCAGGCTGGTAAAGAAGAGGAGGGGCCCCACATGCAGATCAGAGGCTTCCATGAGAAAGACAGAGGCCTCCCCAAGACTGCTTCTGTTAGAGAGGAAAGAGGGAAGCTGGGGGTGACTTGGGACATGGAAGCAGAGAATAAGATCTGAAACTGGGCTGAGAAAAGGGCGAGGAGGCAAAGAGATGACTGGGAAGACATAGAGAAGGGATGAGCTACCAAGGTCAGATGAGAAAACCATCACTTTTTTCTTTAAAGATTTTATTTGTTTAATTTATCTTTAGAGGGGAAAGGAAGGAGAGAGGGAGAGAAATATCAATGTATGGTTGCCTCTCATGTGTCCCTTGCTGGGAACTGGCCCGTAACCCAGGCATGTGCCCTGACTGGGAATCAAACCGTGATTGTGTGGTTTGCAGGCCCGTGCTCAATCCACTGAGCTACACCAGCCAGGGCCAAAAATGATCACTTTTAAAACGACCCGTGATGCAGGGGAAGCAGTAAGAGGAAAACACAGCTATACGAAGTGACTGGGGAGCAGAGGTGAGAGTACAGAGGTCTCTAGGAAATTTCTTTATTTGAACAGAAGCAAGTCCTCCCCTTCCCTTCCCTCCTGCTGCCAGGAGTGGTAGCCAAGCAAGGCCATGTGCTTCTCCTGGGTTAGCAGAAGAAGCCCGTTAGAGTCCTGCCTTTCTCTGTCCTAACGATCCACTCACAAGGAGGAAGCGGAAGAGGACTGGGCTGTCAAGTTAGTGTCTCTTCAAAGATGAGCTTCATGGAACAGAAAAGCAATGACAGCAACCACAAAGGGCCTTCTCATGTACAGGTGCCGTGCACATCTGAGTTATTATGACCTGCAGTCAGCAAGTGGATACCACCATGTCTTAACTATTAACTTTCTAAACAGCAACCAGAATGCAGTATGCACTTGGGTGAGGGTGCTCTGAAGGGAGGGAAGGAAGGACGCTGTTAACTCCCAGTCCACACTGGCTGTGTTACCTGTCACATCTGAAAGCTTAGCCACAGTACATGGGACCTAATGCCACATGTTCTGTGTAACCCCAATCAACTGTCAAGGCCTTTCTACAGTAACCTGCTCCACGAATAATTAAAATTAATATGCTCTAAGCAATTAGGATCACTGACTCATGTCCACTGGTATGGTGGTTTTTATTACACATCCCCGGCACGGAAAATTCAAACAGCATTAAACTACCTCAGCTTTGAGAAAAATGCCTCCAATTTTGATAATTAGTCTTAGTCATGCTTCATACTGAAACATCTTTGAATAAACACTATTTGTGCTACTGTTGCACTGGAGCAACTCTAAACCCTTTAAAAGTAATTCTGTGAATCCTTCTCTGTGATTGAAAGTTAAGCATGTTATCTTATTCCAAAGAATAGTGGCCATCCATAGCATTTAACAAAGGGTGTAATCTTTCCTCAGTAGACACAAATGTTGAAAGAAGAGTACCATCTTAAATTTTTTTAAAAATAGTATCTGTAATTTTTGTGTAAGTCCAGCATTGACCAACTATGTTCTCAATGTACATTTTGCCATGTATAATGTGCACTTTTTTGCCCAATTTTTTGAGGAAAAAATAAGGGTGCACATTATACATGGGTGGTACTAATTTCCACATATGATTCACATCATATATGGGAATTAGTACTAAAATGTGGGTGTTATTATACACAGCAAAATACAGTAAATATGCCTCTAACTTAAAAATTTACTAAATTCTAAGATTTGGATGGCAAATAAGTTGTGGGGAAATGAAGAAGTATTTCTCCACTGTGAAAATTACACACACAATAGTTGGGTTCTCAGAACAGCCCATAAAAGCCTTTTTAACTTGTGCTCTCCCAAAGCAGCAGTAAAAATACTGTAGAACCAACTGTTAAAGTGATATCTCTATGAGCAAATGCATTCAGAGTTCCCTTTGGGGTGCCAGGAACCCTAAACTCTCACTTTCGGGCAGTGAAAGTCGAGGTTCTCATTGTTCAAGCTGGCTCTGAGTATGTCCATGGCGTGGACTTTGGGGAGCAGTGTCTATGTGCTGAACAGCAAGTCTGAGAAGGCCAAGTGAGGGAAGGAACACACTGCTTGTGTAGACTGGGAGGAAAGTTTGGGACGACAGCAGTGGGAGGGAGGGTTCTGGGGAGCGAGCGCGAGTGTGGGACTTGGGGAGGTGAGGGAAGGTGCTCAGGAGCACGGACCCCCAGTTTTTCAGCACCTCTTCCCATCTCCTGTGCATCCCCAAATTTCTTCTACTTTTGTCTTTTACCCTCCTTTGAAAGGCTGTAAGGGGAAGGCTACAGCGGTGTCTGTGCAGTAACAGGACAGGAGAAGGGAAGGTAATTACCAGGAAGACAGAGTGGAAGAGATACAATCTTCTATTGGCGATAAGGGGTGGGTTTTTTTACCACAACATGTATGTTCATAAACCAGAAGCTTGTCTGTGTGGTTCATGCATAGGCCCAAAGTAAAGAGAAAACAATATTTACTACCCCAAAGTGGAAGAACACTTAGAAAATTAAATTAACTTGAGACCTTGTGAATTTTTCCATTGTTAAACACAACCTTTTAAAAAAGTATATTTGAAAAATTCATTGTACCCCTGTTGCACTTTGCCAGGTACAATCTCTTTATCAGAGATACTAGAATCCAGAATCAATATCTGCTCAGATTTTTGGAGAAGTCACACATCTCAAATCCTATTGCAGAAATCCGGGTACAGTCACCAGTTTCATGCAAGGTAGCCCACTTCAAACTGCACATTCTTCAAATAAGATTACACCCAGAACAAATTCACTAATCTGTCGTTCTCCTGATTACTTGCTGCACATGTTAACAAGTGCTCATTCTTTAGCTGTAACATAAGCACAACATAAAAAACATATACCTTTGTCTACTTTAAGCTCAAAAGGTCATCACTTTTCACTACTAAGCAGTTTGAAATAGATTGAAAACCTAACTTACAAACAAGAATATTAATTATTTTACACAATGTCAGGAATTAGCACCTCTTTCCACAAATTATTTGAATAATGAAATTAGCCTCACATTCTTCAAATATTGCACAATTAGAATTTTAGCTTACATAGGTGTTTCCCTGCCCCCAGAGAGTTCCATTTGGTCCCACTGGATATAAACACAGTGCTAGAGAAAATGGTGGGAGTTGAGAAGTCCCTCTGGGGCTCTTCACTACAAATGAGAAAATACTCCTTCTATCAGCCACTTCTTCCCTGGCAGAGCACACCATTTGGAAGCACTTGTTTATGTGGGGTCAAAACAGGAAGAGGGGAAGTCTGAGCTGGTGAACAGTGCCCCAGGCTGGGTTTAACTATAATTTTCCCTATCTCACTGGGACATTTACGGCTGTTGCTTTAACTGTGTTTTAACCTATTTTTCATCAACAAACTAAAGAATACACCCTAAAGAATATCTGAAAATTTCACTAGGGATTCAGAAACCATATAGAAAGTGATGTTCTGAATACTCCTGTTATCTATTTCACAAAACTCATTTCCAATCTTCACGCAACTTTCGGTGATTGTGCTGAAGTGAACTTTTATGCAAGTTAAAATTGAGGGGTTTTCCTGACACCATCGGAAGTCCAACAGCGTCCTCTGAGAGCCTCGGGGCAGTCGGGGTGACCCCGGCTGTCTCAGGCACAGGGCTGTCGGAAACAACTGAGGACAGGGATGTAGTTTCAGTAAAGTTTGGTATAAAGTGCTCAGAATCTCTTCCTACTTGGCAGGGAAATTTTCTATGGATTTCAACTAGAGGACACATGGCTAAAAAATGGGAAATTAAGAACATGCTGCATCTAATCCTACATGTTCAGGATACCTACTTGGTCTCTTCATTTGTGATAACGCTCCAAAGAAAAAGATATCATTGCTTTAAAACATATATTGTCCCACTTATAAACATTAGTCAACTCATCTGTTATGACTAGAATGCTGTCTAAAGTTCTAAACACAGCATAAAAAAACACACAAAAATGACAGTGTTATTTACTTGACCTTCAAAATACTACTTGTTTTACCTCTGTATTAACAACTTCCATAGGTCTTTTCTTGATTTCTCCTATGTCCAAGTAACTGTGGAGGAAAAAAAAACAATAAGGGTTTCTTTTATGGCATTTGAGTCAGTTGTATAAGTTTGTTTCTAAAAATTATTAAATAGCAAAGTATGCCATAGGAAATACTTAAGCCTAAAGCAAAAATCAGTTGCTACTGATTGAAAGCAATTACAGTAGAAAAAGCTTTCAGCATCACCAACCAGAGCTAACACAGGTCTACTCTAAACTTCAACATAACTGAAGTCTTAGAACTACACACTTCTATTGGGAAACATTTCCCCCAAAATGGTTAGCTACTCTCTATATATACATGGTATCTCTAATTCTTATATCAGTTTAGATATAAAGAGCACTTTGGGTATAAAGCTGCTTAACATATTAATCACAGACTTTAGGTTTTAAAAATGCATAGAGTGCATTACATAACAACCGTAAAAGGCTGGGATATCTTTTTTCCCATAAGAGCACTTTAATGATACAGAAACACTCAGCCACGTGGGATGGTTTAGTAATTGGTTCAAATCACAGACAGATGGGTGGACTAGTTAACCTTTGGAGACCCCTATCATTCTATTACAGTTTGTTACAGATATTAGCTGGTGATCATTCACTAGCTATAGCATATGCACAACCTGACAATTTTATACCTATGTCAACTTCAAGCTATAAGCCCATCACTGTGGCCTGGTTTCGCTGTGCTTCATACATAAAAGGTGCTAAATAAATGCTTTAATATAAAAATAAGTATAAACCTAGCATTTAATTTATAACCTTAGATATAAAGATAAATAGGTAGATTCTCCACCTCAACTGCCATAATTGCTAAGCTGCAAAAAAAGGTTATATTAGAATTAATTTTGGCTAAGTTTCATTATTGTTATTTGCTTCTTTGGACAGAATGCTTTAGTGAATCCATACCTCTGGAAATTACTCTATATTTCCCTCACATAACAGTATTTATACAAGGCAGTGCAAATTCTTCTGTTTAGCAATAAATGGCTCTTTTGCAAATCTGCAGGGACTGGTTTCTGACATTTAAAGAAGTTCTGTCATGTGCAGGAAAGTGATCACAGATCCACAAGATTAACCTAGTAGAGTCAGCTTCCAAAAATGCACAGGAAAAATAACAAATCTCTAGAATTCTCTGCTATTAAACAAAGGTTAAGTAGCTAGCTGAAGTTTCATATGGTTATGAAAGTATTAGAAAAAATCTAAGTAACAGAAATTCAAGAAACAAGTTGATCATTTTCATTTGAAAAATATTTGTCCACTGTTGCTCTCTTCCCCAGCATCATCTGGGCTCTAGATGACATGAATCACCCTTGGTATCTTTTCGAGTTTCTTTTTTACTGCCAGGTGATTCATTTGTTACATAAACTTACAACTGCTAAGCTTCAAATATATTCAGCACTTAAATCTTCTTGGCCTCCATCAGTATAACCATAGATACTACTACTTTAATACAAATAAACTATTCATCTGTCAGCATGGAAAACTAACCATGGACACTGTTATAGCAAGCTCAGAGAGGGTGTGTGTGTGTGTGTGTGTGTGTGTGTGTGTGTGTGTGTGAATTAAAAGCCAAAATAACCATGCAAGTCTCTATAAAGAGTGATTTTGAAGCATACCTTCTATTTGTTTTGGAACTGTACCCATTTTTAATCTTTTGACCTGGTAGTGCCAAATAAACAAGAGAACATGAATTACTAAAGTGAGTCTACAATTTTGAGCTGTTAGTAGATTCTGAAGCAGATTTCCATTCCCATGACATCGTTTTATATAAAAGTTATTTAATGAAAATACACAAAGTATATGATAAAAGGAACTGGACATAGCAATGCTTTACATTTATGTAACATTTTGGTGTTTACAAAACATGTTCCCATCCATAGCCAATTACTTTTATCACAACCCTATGAAGTAGAAGCAATTATGTTCCTTTTCTGTATTAGGATGCTGTCCCTCTGAGTTAAGAGGCTTGCCCAAAGAGCTAATAAACAGCTCAGTCTCAAGTCTCCTGATTTTCAGTCGTAAGTTTTAAGTTTCTTTGAAGCACACTTTTCACTTAGCACTTTTCTACAAGGTTAGACCAATAATACTAAAGGAGCTTTCAGGGAAGGGAAAACTAAATCCAAATGCATCCCTCACCTTCCATAAAAAGAATGTCTGGCGTAACAAAAGTAGAATACCTAGAACTCAATTTTTAAAAACTTAGGAAAGGAAGAATGACATCAGACAACTTTAATGATACCTAGAAAAATATTTCTATGCAGTTAAATCAGGATTCACAAGCACAGATTTTATGGTAAAGATTTCTTTTTGCTATCTTGAAGTCCAGGCTGGATTTTAATTAAAATGTTATATTAAAAACTATGGAATACAATGTTTCCATGTGATCCAGCTATTCTACTCCTGGGTATATACCCAAGATAAATGAAAACTTCTACCTGACTGTTCGAAGCAGCATTATTCAAAAGAGCCAAAAGTGAAACGATCCAAATATCCACCAACTGATTAATGGATAAATAAAATGTGATATATCCATATCATGGAATACTATTTAATGATTTTAAAAAATGAAGTACTGATACATACTACAACATGGATGAGCCCTGAAAACATTATGCGAGGTGAAAGAATCCAGAAACACAAAAGGCCACAAACTGTATGATTCCGTTTATATGAAACATCCAGAACAGACAAATTCACAGACACAAGTTCATTATTGGTACCAGAGGATGGGGAGAAGGGGAAGTAAGGAGGCACAGGGTTTCTTTTTGCAGTGGTGGAAATGCTATAACATTAGTTTGTGGTGACGGATGCACAACTCTGTGAATGTACTAAGACTCACTGAAATGGACAAGGTTTGTGTTACATAACCTGCATCTCCATAAAGTTGTTAAAAGGAAAATAGCCTACAGAATATTAAATTCTCCCACACAATAGCCACCCATACCAGAAATAATCTCTCTCAACTCTGAACTGCCACCTAACTTTGTTTTTCTAGTTGTACCTATTCTGCTGTACTCTACATTAAAACAACTGGTGCGCATGTAGTCTCTCTTGTTAGACTGCAAACTCTGCAAGAACGACAAGGACTCATGTCTTGTTCATCTTAGTTCCCTTCACAAACCTAAACACAATTTGATGATTCACTGAGCAAGCTCCTTGCCAGCAACTGCGGATGAGAAGCAATAATGACCCCTGTCCTTGAGGGTCTAGCCATCAGTTACTTAGGGAAAGACATGTGGACAAATACAGCGAGCCACTCAGCTTTTCCAAGTTTTATGCGATAGCACAAACACGCAGGTGATGGGGGGACGGCCACAGTGGGGCGTGGTCAGTTTTACCTGGAATGAAAGGTTGAAAGCATTTAAACGGGGGCAGGGGTTGCAGAGAGCAATGTTCTCTTCTGATAATTATACAGCATTCAACACTTAAGAATTATTTTAACTAAAAAGGTTCCAAGCATAATGGGGGGTAGAAAAGGAAAGAGAAAAAACCAACAAAATGCTAAGTATCCGTTTGGCCACTTCTGGGGGGGGTAAAGATTCCTGTTCCTTACACATGCGCTTTACGATTGCTCCTCTTGCCACGCAAGTGAAACTGCTTCTCCATCACGCTTTCAGCCTCTAACTCCAACTGCAGCGGGAGCTCCGAGAGGCACCGACCCGCGCGGACACAGTCCCCAAACCCACTGAGGTTTGGCCGACGTGCGGGGCGGGGCGGAGGTGGGGGGAGTGGCATCCCTCTCCGGGCGCCACCCGCACACCTTGCGCGCCCAGAAATGGGGGGCGGCGGGGCTTACGGACTTACTTGAGTTTCTTGAAGGCCTCCGGGCCCCCAGCCACGTAGTTGCCCCCGCTCTGGATCTGGTCCAGCTGACGGATGCGATGCCCGGTGCGCGGGGTGTAGAGATTCCTGACGGCCCCGAAGGGCGCCTGGACGCCGCCCGTCACCTCTTTCAGAAAGATGTCGAAGCTGGACACTTTCTTCTCGTGAATGACGACGCGGCGCCCCGCGAAGAAAGGGTCCCCGTTGCGGTACACCAGCACGCTCTTCACCACCGGCTGGGCGCGGTGGCTGGCCCGGGCGCGGGTGCCGTTCATCCTCCCGCCGCCGCCGGCCGGCGCTCAGGGTCCCGCTGCCCGCGGCCTCGCCGCACACGCCGGGTCGCGGGCTGCAAGGACGGGAGACCGGGAGACCAGGTCAGAGCGAGCAACGGCCGAGCGGCCGGCGTGCGCCCCGCGTGCGCCCCGCGGACCGTCCGGGGCGGCGGCTCGCGGGGCGCGCCGTCCAGGGCCGCGCCGGCCCCACAGCCAATCGGCGGCCGCCGCGCGCGCCGCACCTGCTCCCACGCGCCCAGGTGTCACCACCTGGGACGGCAGCCGCGCGGGCGCGGGAGGGAGCACCAAGGACTCGCACGTGTAAAGATGAAACTCAATTTCTCACGTCATGTTTGCGCTATTCCTTGCAAAACGCTTAACTTTCTATCCTCTCCTTACTCCCTCACCTCTCAGCCTCCTGCGGGCGCCCCGGTTAAGGCAGTAAGTCGAGGGCTGGAACTGACCAGACAATTCTCCGCGGCCGAATGAACGCGCCGGCGGAGGAGACCCGAGCGTCCGGGACCCGCCGCCCCTCCCGAGGGCCGGCTCCCCGCGGCGGGTCTTCCACCAGCACCTTCCGCAGAGGGCAGGCCGAGCGCGCGGGAGAGCGGGGGCAGGGCTGCGGGGGAGGGGCACGAGCAGAGCCGCCGGGGTGTCGCAGCCCCGCGGTGACCTCCGAGGCGCCGGGTGTCGCTGGCGCTGCTCCTGCGGCTGCCGTCGCCTCTGAGGGCCCGCTCACCCCGCAGGGACCCAAGTTGTTAGCTCCCGCCGTTCCCATAGCAACTGCAACCGCAGGGGAGCTGGGTTCCTGGAATGGGCCCGGCGCTTCCTTGGATCCCTGAGCTTTGCCACTGCCCGGGCCAAAGGCCCAAAAGAAGTACAGAGATTTGGATCGAAGCCTGGTGGCCTCCTATAAATGGACGCCTAGTGTGCCAGGCACTGTGCTAGGCAGGAGTTGGGGGAACAGCAGTGAAGAGAATACGGGGCAGTAACTGGAGTGCCTCCTTCAGGCCTAGCTTTACACCCAGAAAAGACTTTTTCACAGCCTCCAGAATGCTGAACGGCTGCACAGCTGCCTGGGCCCGAGAGCCCACATCCATGCTATTGGTACAGATTAGTTCAGTGTATGGTAAGGTAAGGGAGAGGAGCTTAGTTCAGTCCACGCTGGGACAAACACTATGGGATCAGGGATGAACTTTTTAAACTGAGATCGTCCAGCTCCTCTCTGCCCGTGTTTCATTCATTCCTAACACCTTGCTACTATGTGTCATGGGCCGAGTTGATTACTGGGTGTTTATAATTCATCATATATGAATAAAATAATCTTTATGAGTAACTACCATTAATTGAACATTTGGCATTGCCTGGCATTGTTAGGCACTTTACGTAGATTATCTAATTCAATGTTCAGAGGTAAATATCATTCTCTACTCAAATGGGGAAACTGAGATGTAGAGAAACCCAAGAAACTTATCTTAGATCACAGCACAAATTCGAACCTAGCTCTCTGATTCCAGAACCACCTTACCACCATGCGATACCAAACTTAAAGGTGAGCGTGTAGGGCACTGCAATCTGGGCAGAAACATTCTGATTAAAATCACTTATATTAATGCCTTGTAAGTTAATAGTTTTCAAAAGAAGAGCAAAGAGAAGGGAGCATTACAGAGGGAGAAATAGAAGGAAATTTTGTGAGCTAGTTGTGGATTAAGGGAATGGATTGGGAAAATATCTGCAAAAGCGCTACCAAGTAGCCGAATGAGGCAGAATACCTGTTTTGAGAGATGGAAGGCAGTAAATCAAGGAACTCTCCAAACAGTCCTAACTCCCTACTGCCTAGACCAGCCCAGTGCAAAATGAAAACACCTGGCCCCTAGTTTGAAAATTAAGAATTTTAAGATGGCAACGACAGGGCATTAAACCTTAGCACCTGTTCCTTCTGTGCTTGGGAACCTGCCACCAGCCCAGGAAGCCACCCCACACCTATCCTCTAACTCCGGCAACAGTGATCTGCCCAGGGTTGTGCCTGGAGCCGGGACCCATTTATCCACCTTCCTCTTAGACAGTGATGTGATAAATGTGACGATGGTTTCCAGGGTGGAGAAGACCTTGATTCATAGCATTTGCCAACTTTTATAATTTAAATATGAAAACAAGACCGATTTCCAGCTACCACTCGGATGTCACTGGTAGCAAGAGATGTTCAGTAGCATACTATTATATATGGTATTTAATACCATATATACCATATATACCATATGGTATTTAATACCATATATAATAGTACTATATCATACTATGATATATGATCATATCTACACATCATACACATCTATCATGTCATACAATATACCATATTGTATATACCTCATATACAGTATGATCTACATATCATACACATAACCTCAGAGATAATAGTAAAACATAGGTGGTGATGAGTTTTGAGTATTATTTTTGTTTTTCATGTTATGTAATTAATTGTATACTTAACTATTTAATTTTTAATAAAACCCGTGTTTAAAATTCCTGGAAATTTAACAATTGACTCCCTCAAGGCTCTGCGAGGGGCTGTCAGGCCTGATCAAGCAGAAGCCATTTCAGATAGATGCTGGGGAACCTTTGAGAACACACACTGAATGAATGAGAGGCAAGAGAGAGTTTTGTTTTAAAGCTTTTTTCCTAAGTGGATGAAAGACATAGAGAGTGAGAAATAGCAAAAGAGGATTCTTCGAGAAGGTTCACTGTACATTAAAAAAATAATATAAAGATATTTGCCTTTTCCTCAAGAGCCTGAGTAAATCTCTCAAATGCTTCCAGTTATATTTCTCCTCCAAAATAATAATTATTTTAACATAACACTGCACTAAAAGCAAACCACATTGCATTCTGTGTTTATAAGGGTTCTTCAATCACCAAATCTTATCAATTCTACTTTACTAATGTTTCTTAAACCTATTCATTGATCTCCAAATCCATTCCCGCTTTCTGAATTCAGAACACCATCACCCACTAAAAGGTCACCCTATCTCCAAATTTGTTTCTCTGCTATCCACTTGAACACCCAGCCTGAAAGACTTAGCGAAAAAAAACAAAAATCTATTTGAGTCACTTTCCAGGTTCCCATCCTTCCTCATACAGAGAGATCCGACTAAGACAACTCACACCACTTCGGAGAAGTAGGGATGCCATAGGAGGAGTTGCAGGAGGCCATTGTGGGCGGTGTAGGACAGGATTGGCTGAGAAGGTGCAGGCCCAGAGCCAATGGAAATAAAAAGAGGGCTGGCCCTCTGGCTCCTAAGCTGGCTCACTCTCAGGCTCAGGCCGGGGCTCTTGGGATCTTCTTCCTCAAGGATGCCAGGATGATGGTGCAGCAGTTTCCCACACTTCCCAACAGATAGTCTTTGTATGGGAACTCTGGGCACAGCCTAGGATCAAGCTGGTGTGCCAGCGGGTGGCAAGTTCATTCTTTGGGTGTTCTAGACAGAAGAGGCTCTGAGGCAGAAGCCTGCCATTCTTCCAAATTGGTGTCATTTTAATACATCATGTTGTTTTTAGTTTGTAAACTAACTCTATAGAAAAATGATACTGTGTTGTGCTGTATATAGTGCACACCCACATTTTATATTCAGAAACAAGATCAGTTATTGTATTCCAGGGCATTATTTTGCATATGGATATCATTATTACTTTCCAGAGTTACACATTTAATGCATAAGCATAAATAAAGAATTAAAAACATTTATATAGCCCTGGCTGGTGTAGCTCAGCGGATTGAGTACGGGCCTGCAAACCAGAGGATCGAAATTCAATTCCCAGCCAGGGCACATGCCTGGGTTCCAGGCCAGTTCCCAGCAGGGGATACACAAGAGGCAACCATACATTGATGTTTCTCTCCCTCTCTCCTTCCCTTCCCCTCTCAAGAAAAATAAATAAAATATTTAAAAAAACATTTATATAGATATGGATTAGTACTATCTGTGTAATGATGCACATACTTACTTTTTCCTCAAAAATTTGGGCAAAAACTGCATGGCAAAACAGGGGAAAAGATGGAAGAACAGAGATGTTCGAGTCTAGCCTTATTTGATAGGCTTAAGTGATTAAAGCTATGACTTGTTAGACTTAAGTGGTTGCTTTTGAATAAAGACTCCTTTCCTTTATCAGCAAACCTTTGCCTCTGGAATTTTTGCCTCGAGGGCAGCAGGCAGCAGAGCCCCTAATTCTGCTTGGTAACATTCTCACATGACTTACCCTTTGGCGTTACAAAGTCAAGGCCACACTTCCTCGAATGCTCCTTTGGACATACTTCATGGCCCCTTCTCCACCTCTGACACTCTTTCAGCTCCTTTCAAATAATACCTTCAGCCCCAACTGAAAAGTCGTTACCAGGAAACCTTCTATCCCCTCCACAGATCAGAATAGCCCTGCGTATATTAAAACTTTTCCTCCACAGTTCTTATTATTGTAATTATACATTTTTGTATAATTGTGTTTGTCTTTTTATAGGTATATACTTAATCTTTGTAGAATTAGATGTTTATATGTATAAATTGACTAAAAGAAAGGACTGTGGCCATTCTATTCATCAGCATATCGACAGTGCCTAAGTAAAGAGGCTGGTATATCGTAAGTACTGAATAATTATTTAATGAGGGAATGAGTGCAAAATATATAAAGTTTAAAAATTAAGAAAAACTTCAAAAAAATTAGAAACTGCTCCTCTAGGAAGAAGCATATCTTCACATCAGCAAATAAAAGTGTTGTACAACTATAAAGAGATTCTAAAACTGACTGCTTGGCTTTGGACAGAAAATGCACGGTCAGGTGTGGAGGCGAGCCCCCACACAGGAAAGTAGGCTCTCATACTGGCACTTAGTGGCCACAGTCTTTCAGGCCAATAAAGATGAGCCTTGTTAATGAGCCCTGGCTGGTGTAGCTCAGTGGATTGAGCACGGGCCTGTGAACCAAAAGATTGCGGTTCAATTCCCCAACAGGGCACATGCCTGGGTTGCAGGCCAGTTCCCAGCAGGGCATGCACCAGAAGCAACCATACATTGATATTTCTCTCCTTCTC